CTAGAAAGCAAGTAGATCTAACTGTGCTATTTCCCGTTCAATCCTAAGGGAAGTCTTTTGCAGGCGCAGTAAAAGTATCTACCAAAAGCATCTCTGTTTAGACAGATTTAAACTGGCCAAATAAAGGGAAAATGTGCATAATATCAGATCATAATATCCCCGACAATTCTAAATTGAGGAGCTCACCAGGTGGCGCGCATGAATTATGGATTATAGTTCACGGCCTTATGTCAACATACGATCTATGATGTAAACATCTAAACTCTAAAGACGCACAATGCCGCAGTATTGCTGTGTACCAAACTGCAAAAACTCAAAAGGTGGGCACACTTTTCCGAAAGATCCAATACTGCGGAAGAGATGGATTGTTGCAATAAAGCGGAATGATCAACAGACTGGAAAATTATGGCAACCAGGGGAGCACGATCGTGTTTGTAAAGATCATTTTACCAATGACGACTATACAAGTACACTTCTCGGTAAGAAAAAATAATAAAAACATAGACCCCTACATACATGTTCATCATCTTTGCACTCAGATGCAAAATGCATATATTAAGGTTTTGAATTTAATATTGTTCAAATCCCCATACGAGAATAAATTAGGGCTAGGTCTGTTCAGAAAAAATAATAAATAAAATAACACTCGTCATCCAAAAGATTGAGACTCTGGGCAACTCGATGATAAATTATTTGAAAAAGGATGCTGTTCCATCGTTATTTACATTCAAAAAGTCTGTATGCCCAAGGAGAAAGTTGAGGAGAGTCTTTGAAGCTTCAATTAACCCGGTAATGTTACAGAATGAAGAGAATGAAGTCATCAATGAAATTGTAATTGATCACTCTTGCGTTGATGTTGCCGTGTATGTTGATTGTGAACCATCCCAAAATTATAATGTTGAAATTCAATGTCACCTTTTGTCAGATATAAATTCTAAGTTCTCCATTGAAAATTTCTGTGAAAATCCAAGAGCCATTAAATATTACTCTCTTGGCCCTGTAGTTTTTTATTTAAATTATAAGTGTTCTTTGTTGGAACCTAAGGATCAACTTTTCTTAACTCTCATGAAATTAAGACAAGCCAAGGAAGATTTGGAACTCAGTATTTTTTTCAAAGTCAGTGAAAGTACCGTTTCACAACTAATTAATGTATGGATCAATTTTTTATATTTCCAATTAAAAGAAATCAATATTTGGCTCGAAAAATCTATTGTACAAGAGAATATGCCCAGTAACTTTAAATCTGCATTTTCTACAACACGTGTAGTACTAGACGCCACAGAAATTCCTATTTCAAAGCCACAGAATGTTGATGCCCAAAGTATGACATTTTCTACGTACAAAAATAAAAACATACTGAAAACCATAATCGGTTGTTCACCTCGAGGACTTTGTATCATATGTCAGTGACAGTTATGGCGGATCAGCTAGTGACAGACAAATAATTGACGATCCACACTAGTCAATAATAATGGTATGTTTGAATCAAAGGATAGCATAATGGCTGACCGGGGTATTATGGTCCAGGATATCTTTGCATCCAAAAATGTTTTGGTCAACACCCCAACAATGTTGAAAGGCAAGTCGCAACTAGAACCTGAACAAGTCATACATGATCGTCGAATTGCTTCAAAGAGAATTCATGTCGAAAGAGTGATAGGTTTAGGCAAAACCTACACAATTTTGAAAAAAGATCTGCCTGCCAGCAAACGAGCTCTTGGTTCAAGAATTGTATTTGTATGCTATATGCTATCAAATTTCCGTCCATCAATTGTCAACAGACTTGCCTAATCACATTCCCCCCCAATAGATCAAACAAAGAAATCTAGTAGGCCTGTAATATAATAGTGTGTTTATTACTGTAACTACATGTATTTAATATCATAAATAAAGCCTTTTGTATAACATAACATATACCTATATTAATAATAACAATAATAACAATAGTACACAATCTTTGCATTGTACATTTTTCTTAAAAATACATTATGTAAAATTTAGATAAGAGCCGATCGTTCTCGCTATGATAGTTTAAAAATAGATAATGCAAAATGAATATATTGAAAATTTTATTCAACTTACTTTATTGTAAGCCAAGTTACCAATGTCTGTAGTTTCGACAAGATGTGTGCATTGATTGTGTATGTTAATAAATGTCTGATAATTTATTATAACATTTAATGCCAAAAGAAAGACCTGCAATTATAGGTAAATGTAGCACACTTGAGTAATGTATATTTAACTTGCCATGAATGATGGTAGCGGCAATTAAAAGAGAAAATCTCTTATTAAAAACTTTCAAGAGATAACACTTCTGTGGAACCAGACAAGTAACATGCAACTTTGTTTATCAATATAATAATCATGTTCTAATTTTTAGATATTGTACGTATCACCATTGTTATAAGACCTTACAAAAAATATTCTGGTTCTCAGACAATCATGTGTAACCTGAAAAGCACTGCATGACCCGTTTTTATTTAAAAATTAAAAAAAAACATGAAAAAAAGACTATTTAATTATCGCATATAAATATTTTGCACTCCACCCCCCCCCCCCCGGACGCTGTAGGCTACTTTATCATAAATGTAACCCTGACACTTTTAAGTGAAACAGGATAATTGTACATTCCTTTAAACAACATGACATATACTTAGTCAATGGAAATATGTGATGTATATAAGAAGGCATTTGATTTAGCCCAGTAGTGATCCAGTAGAAATTGTAAATATCACCGTTGTTATAAAAGGGATGCTTTATATAAGGTCTTGTTTAATCTGATATCAAATTGATTAATTTTGTTTTACAGAACTGTTGTAATTATACATATCACCATTGTTATAATTATAAATGAGATGCAATATAAGGTCTTAAATATTTATGATAAAATAATTCAAGCTTAGGTAATAAAGAACCTTTACAATAATCATTGTCAATTTCTATTTTTTCTATATAAAGATCTTTGTGTGTAGATATTAAAAAAAAAAACATAACTGGTGTTTAGATAAATAAAGCTGTCCTTGTACCTGAGAATAATATCGACTGTTTCTAGAAAGCCAGACTTTGCTGCTACCATCCAAATATTCCAGATAAGGGAAATATTTTCCCGGAGCAATATTTAAATCCCTTCCTGTATATGGACATTTAATTTCAATTATTTTATTATCATCAATTACTCCATCAGGAGTTGCACCAAGATACGGATAACTTGGGTGCACAAAAACTCCACATTTAGACACAATGAAACCCATTTTTTCATTGAAAAATTTGCATGCAACAGTTTCAAATTTAAGACCATGTATTACAGGCGGGCCACTAAGAACAGGTGGAAAACAAATACTTTCACAAAGTTTGTCAATATTTCGTCTTGCAGTCATATGCATAACATTCCCAATTCGAGATGCCGTCAAACGCCACTCCCTGGCATCATGCTATTTTGAACACAAACCCTGTCTCCTTGTAGCTGCCTCTAGCTTTATTGCTTCAGCATCTTTTATCTGAAAATAACTGTCAACCCAATATTGAGTATATGGTAACATTAAATAATCATGGTCTTTAACTGCAGTTAAAATATCAGCTTTGGGATATAAAAATTTGATCGTTAAATCAGTTTGTTCTGTAGAGCAGTAGTTGTACACACGGTTCCTAACATCAGCTTCAAAGCCAGGCTTGTTGCGATGCGCTGAAGGACGTGGATCATCTAAACAAGGTTGTTTTGATGCAGGGAAATTCTCTTGATTTTACTGGGGATCCTGAAAATAAATCAAAATTTTATTAAAGGGGCATTGGCATTAGGTAAGATTAGATAAAGAGCCGACAGTTCTTGATATAATAGTTAACAAATAGATAATGAAAAGGGAATATGTTGAAAATTTCAGTCAAATTACTTCACTCGGAGCCTGGCTATTGACGACACATTGAGAGTCTAGCTCTGATTGTCATTGTTACAATAATAAACCGCAAAAGTATTTAAATCTACTTAATATCAGTGATATCTGATGGCAATCATGGCATTGATCATTCATGATTCATTGTGTTGATCTTGGTAGTTAATTAATGTCTTATTAATAATTTATATAAAATCTAAGGTCTGAAAAAAGACCTTCAATTGGCCGATTTAGCTTAAATAGATAGCTTAAGACAAGGACATGCTATTGCTAAGGAATTACATTGTCAACCAAGGACATACATGTAAGTAAAAATAAAACCCCTAACTCTGCCCAAGATTCCTTGACTAAGAGGGAAATGAAAATTTTGTATCTTAACATATTCTCTTACCTTCATATTGCCTTTTTGGCATGTGGAAAGATTGCAAATTCTCAGTACAACTGCTCTTGATTTTACACTGCCCATCTTCAATGAATTGAACCAGCATCAGTAAAACTGCAGCCAGATGTTTGCAGGTTCCATGTGGCCTTTACCAGCAGGACATTCACAGTGACTATTTACAATTTCACCACTACTTTTTTCAACGCTGAGTTTATAGTTGTAAGTTACCTATAATAAAATGCATAAGTTTCATTTGGGCCGATTTTCTTAATACTATATGGATATTCAATAATGGTGTGCCAGATATTATATTTAGGAAATTGAATGATTCCTTTACATGAGCTGCAGCCTGTAAGTCTACTAATCAATCTATACATGTATACATACAACAAAAGTAATAAAGTATCTCTTGCAAAGAAGAATATGTCTATCAATGTTCATAAGAAATACATCAGGAGTAATTTCAGAATATCTGATCATTTCTTTTTTACCAGAAATCTAATTGTTGTTTACTAAAAATGCAATGCAGATAATGTGATTGGCATGATTGACAGAGATAGGCTTTTAATATCTAGCCAATAAAACAGGAAACAAAATTCCCTGATCAGCTCACCAGTTCTCCCTATTAAATTATAACATAAATAAAGATTTAAGCTCACAAATTACCTTCTTTTTCATTGCAGCAGCAACAATTTCTGTAAAGTAAATACAAGTATCTATTTCACATAAACTGCATGCAGAAACTCGATCACTTTCCATCAACTCCTCTCCTTTCTGCAGTGTTTTTAAATCATGGGCCATCCCATGATCAGATACCATTCTGTATTTAAAATAACCATCTATTTGACAATTGACATCTATCAATTTTTGGTAATGTTGATCTGTGTTCACATACAAGTTGTCGAAATCCTGAACTAGGCCACTGTGGAATTGTGTACTCAGGAAGATGGATAACAGGATTTCTAAAGCTATTAATTATTAATTTTATTAGAACACATAATATACATTGTCTTAAAATTTAATTTAGAACACAAGGCTTCTATAAACACCACAAAGCAAGTCAATCACCACTTGGAATTTGGAACAAAGTTTATAATAATAGGCCTATCTATATAATATTAATAATAATATATGGTAATCAGCATGCTATCTACATGCGTACACAAATAATTGTACTTTAGGACTATTAATATTAACTCTCTCATCAAGTTGAATGCAGAAATCCAAAATACTGTGGCACAACAGAATACTAGGCCTATAGGCTAAGTTTTCTTATTTCAAGCTAAGATATACACTGACAACAGTGTCTCTGAGTCAGTGTAATAACTTCCATGTTATTGTTAGTTAAAATAGGCCTAGTTAATGAATTAGGCCTATTCAGATTTAAAACTTTCGTGGGCTTGCCTAGGCTAGTTGATATGCTATAGATAGGCTAAGGCCTAGCTCGAGTAGCTAAGGCCTGTGAAAATCAATAAATTACACTACCGACAATGTGAGTAATGCCAAATCCGTACCTATACCTACGGGTGTAATTTGTTTGTTTCTAAATGCCGACGAATGAACGTCTGAACCGCTTATAAACTTGAAAGTGGGTCGCAGGTTTGTGAAGCGTACGAACATAAGGCAGTCGCTGGAATGGGAACAGGGCTTAATTAGGTTATTATAGGCTAATGTTTACTCGATGACACTTACCTCTCAATAAGTGCCTCTTTTCTGCCCGTTGTCCATGCACCTCGTTTAGCTAACTCGTCTTTCAATTTTCCAACAGTAAATCGACCGTAATTATTTTCCGCCATGATTTTGCCGTCTGCTGTGAAAGAGTAACTCAATGACGTCTTGGAGTAACCCATAATCCAGTGGAAAAACCTGAGAATCAGTGCGCGAGCGGACAACCCCATTGTCGTGGTTTCAAACCAAATTTTAATGAAGTCCAACTTTTAATTCAAAAATCAACAATACAACCCTTTAGCTGTTTGTTTACAGGACACTTTTTGGAGGAATTCTGACACTTTGTCTTTTAGATATTTTCTTAGTTATCATCAATAGTCAATTAATGATGGTAGAGCTCATGGGGGTGTTTATATTATTCTTAATGGAGATATCCCTCAGAGTCAAGTCACCCTAAACTCGCCTTTACAGGCAGTTGCAGTAAGGGTGACTTTGCTTATTCCCATAACACTCTGCTCTGTATATCTTCCACCAAGTTTACATCTTAATCCAGATGATAACAACAGAGGTAAACAAATAGCGGACTTCATTAACCTTCATAATTAGTGTTTATTAAATGGTGACTCGCCTACTTATCTACATCCTGCCACAAATTCGTGTTCTTCCCTAGATCTCACCATTTGCTCCCCGGTCCTGTTTCGGGATTTTACATGGAGAGTAAATGAAGAACTATGTGGTAGAGACCATTTTTCTATCTTAATTGATAAAAATGGTCCCTCTCCGGTCGGAAGACCCCAGAGGTGGAAGTTGCATAAGGTTGATTGGCCTCTATTTGAATCTTTGTGTCTTTTCTCTTTTGATACAGAGAGTTAGAAGATGCAGATGAGCCCATGGCATTAATCACTTCAATTCTTCAAGATGTAGTTTAGCAGGCGATTCCATCCAAAAATCACGACTGAACCAAAACGTTTCAATAAACCATGGTATAATGACAATTGCAGATCCGCCCTAAAAGAGCTAGATCTTATTTTGAGACGACTAAAAAAACCCACCCTTCCATGGAGAATATTGCGGCATACCAGATGGTCCGGGCGAAGGCCCGTAGAACCATTAGAACCATACATCAAGCAAATAAGTCTTCATGGCAAGGTTACGTCTCTAGGATCAATTCCCGTACTACACCCAAATAGGTATGGGATATGATTCGTAGGATTAAAGGTAAAAGTAGTGCATTATCAGTTAACCATCTAAATGTTGATAATACCGACTTAAGAACATTTCCTAATATTGCTAATTCTCTGGCCAGTACATTTTCATTTAATTCATCATCCAAATTCCTACGGCCACAATAAAGATCATACGAATCATACAAATTATCGCCGATCGCTTTAACTAGCTGCATTTGCAAAACCATGGAGAGATTGATCCATCGAAGGCTTGCTTGGTACCTTGAGCCCAACAACCTCATCACTGACCTCCAATGTGGATTTCGGTCCCAAAGGAGCACTCTTGATCATCTCGTTCGATTGGAAACGTTCGTCAGGGACGCTTTCATCCAGAAGCAACATTTAGTTGCAATATCTTTTGATCTAGAGAAAGAATATGATACCACGCGCGAACTCCATAACCTCAGCCTACAAGGTCGCTTACCTATCTTCATTAAAAATGTCCTGGAAGATAGGTTATTTAAGGTACGACTGTGATCAATATTCGCTGACACATTTCCTCGGGAAATGGGGGTTACACAGGGAAGTATTTTATCTCCAACTCTTTTAGCAATAAAAATTAATACTATCCCAGTGTTCCTTAAACCAGGCACAGACGGCGCTCTTTATGTTGATGACTTTCTGATGTGCCATGGTCTACAGACATGCGGATAGTCGAACGTAAGTTGCAGTTTTGTTCGAATTCACTTCAACTATGGGCAACCAAAACTGGATTTCGTTTTTCAAAATCCAAGACTGTCTGCATGCATGTCTGTCAGAAATGAGGTTAGTATCCTGATCCAGAACATTTCTTGAATAGCAACCGCCTTCCTGTTGTAGATGAAACCAAATCATTTATCCCCCATATTAGAAACCTAAAACAGAAATGTCTCAAACCCCTCAACATATTGAGAGTCTTATCAAATACTGACTGGGGAGCACACCGTAAGGTCTTGCTCCGATTATATCGAGCATTAATAAGATCATAACTCGATTATGGGTGTATTGTGTATGGGTCTGCCCGCGAGTCTTATCTCAAAGAGCTCGACACCATACACAACCAGGGACTTTGAATCAGTGTAGGAGCATTTCGTACATCACTAGTGGACAGTTTGTACGTCGAGGCGCAAGAGCCCTCGCTGCACAACAAACGTGATAAACTGACCCTGCAGTATGCTACGAAAATCGCATCTCCTCCAAATCATATTTCATTTAACACCATAATTAGACCATAAAATGAGCATTTATATCTGCTCAAGACAAAAGTTATTCCACCATTTGGTATTCGGATACAACCCGTTTTGTCTGAGGCTGGTATCAGCCTTGAAAGTATTGTGAATACCCCTTTCTTTAAGACTCCGCGGTGGGCTATATCTCCCCTAAAGATCGTTTTCGATCTTACGCAACATAAAAAGAGAGATACTAGCTCTACGGTGTTCTAATCTCTCTTTGTAGAGTTAAGGTCTAAGTATGGTGATTATGCTCCTATTTACACAGATGGTTCTAAAGATGGTGATCGGGTAGCTTCGGCTACAGTGACACCATCTGAGACCATTTCTGTGTGTCTTCCACCTGCGTACATTCATGATTGCATGATTTAGAAGAGATAAAACCCTCTTTCGTTTGCCCAAAGAAATATGTCGCTATCAAATAATAACCTAATTACTAAAAATAGACTACTTTCAATGTATTTTATTTAATGCTAGATCAGATTAACAGATTTCACTAAAGTCACGGTCATCGAGCGATATTTATGTTTGCTCGATTCCACTTTGTTGTATACCGACTTATTGTATGCCAAGATGATTTCCGCTTATGTCGTCATGATGTTCCGAATCGACGAATTTCGAGAAATATTTTTGGAGAAATGTTTTGCAAGATTTGTATTTGGAGATTTGTATTTAGAAATTTGTTCTGCGAGATTTGTTTTTAGTTGTATACAAGTAACCATATCGGTGAAATGTATAAAGAAAAAATTAGTCTAAAAACTAAATGCTCTAAATCAATATGATGATGATATCTGAATGAGCCGCACCAGCATGAGTCGCTTTGTTTTGTTTACGCGCGTTGCTACGATTCCAAGTGCCCGTCTGTGTTAATCATTCATTCACGCAAATTTCAAACTTCACGGGTTATTAGGAAGGGGTTGTCCACGTTGGCTTGCGCTTAACCGAACCGTTGACCGTTAGAATTCGGTCAAGGGTATGCGGAATAAGTTTTAAATAATTAAAAAACTAAGTAGCTTGTTCAAACGGGACGAAAACATTTATGTTGCTTACACAGCGGAATTCTTTCAAAAATAATGCAATAAAGAAATCACTTACAGTTACCGGGATCATTCGCAATAATTGTCTGATAATTTGATTCCTTTTGAGTAAATAGCTCACTTAATTCATGAATGGTACAGTATGAATTAGTATAAGCCTCCTGTAGACATTGATATTGTATTGAAAAGTATCTGCAATGTATAGATTATATGAAATTGTACTAAACTATTCGAGTTAAAACAGTCCAAGGTGTATCCTCTGTTTTATGCAGATTAAAGCGATATTTTTAACTACTCTGAATAAGAAACCTGGGTACAAATCATTTGAAAAAAAAACCTTTATTCTGAAAGAAGCACATTATCTCAAAATCATTAAGTGTAATTTTAGCGACTGTAGTAACAGTTGCGGGTAGTCTGCGCTGACTTGCACTTAGGGCTTCGTATTGGTAAATTACCTTTAATCTCGTTTCTTGGAATGTAGTGTAGTTTTTACTATCAAAAAATAAAAATTAATATCAGAATAATTTTGATGCCTTGAAAGGTGATATTGGTGTACTATAGTAAAGAATCACTTACTCGCAAAACGTGGTTGCGGATGACCCATTGGTGTTTTCACAATAATCATAAAAAGGTGCACAAGTCTCCGCTGGAAAAAACAAAGCCAATATAGTTTTAACAGTATCTTGTTGCCATTGTCAAACATTTCATTTTTGTGCAAAGTTTATATACTTTTCGATTGAAAACCAGAACTAACTGACTTTCTAAGAGGGGTACTCCACAAGTGCAGTTCGTATATATTTTCGTGATGAATGTTCGTGGTTGAATAAAAGAAAATAAGAATCGTGTTGGATTTCGATATTTCTATAGTCTTAGTTAATAATTAATCACCATGAATTACAACGTAAAATTAATGTAACAACGAGTTAATAATCTTGGTTCAAATGCTTAATGGTAGATAAGCTTCAATATGATGATGGGAATTGACATAAACGTGTGTCTCCAGATATCCAAATACAGGTTCATACAGTTTGTCCTAATGATTGTGATCTGAAGTTGACCTTCTAATATGAAGGTTTGTAGAAATGATTTTCCTTGATTGACTCGTTTGGGTCTAGATACGAAGACGCGTTACCTATGGCATTAAATCCTATGCAAACAAACAATGTGGTAACTGAAAGGGTTTAGTCCGTAGACGTTAAATACAATTTATAAAATAGATGTAAAGCATAAAACAAAAAAACATTTGAGACAGGCGATTAGGGAAATATATCATACAATATGAAATAGAATAAGACACAGAAAAATGGGGGTAATTAAAAGGGTGTCTTAAGATCCATTGCAATATTCCTCACTGAATTTTAAGTAACACTAATTGGCCGAATTCACCACCATTATTATTTGGATTTTACTGAAGTTCGCCCTACTATAATACTAGAGGATATTGTTATGTGGATAGAATTCCCGCATTTATTCATTCGCCCCTTTATTAAGTCCTTCATTAAAGGGATAATTTCACTCTTGCTGTAACTACATAAAATGTCCCAATCTTCATTCCGGTCAACAAAATGTACTAATTTACAATATTCCAATTAATTGATTGTATAAATTTAATCTTAACACACCTAATTAAGAAAATTGGAAAATTCAACTAGAAATT